GAAGGGTCTAGGCCCGAAACGTCAGCCTTCCTGCTCCTATGATGCTGCTTGGCCTGCTGTGTTCATCCAGCTCTACGCCTTGTTGTCTCAGATTCTCCAGCATCTGCAGTTCCTACTACCTCTGATTCCTGGGACAAATGTGTTCACTTCTGAAGAACAGCAAAAGAGGTGAGGCCTTTATTCATTAGAATTTAGAAGACTGAAAGGTGATCTTATTGAAACAGACAAGATTTTGAGGAGGCTTGACAGGGTGGACATTGAGAAACTGTTCCCATTTGTGGGTGAGTCTCTAACTATTTATAACTGAGAGGCAAAGGAGGTGCATCCAGATGCAGTGAATGTCTAGAATTCTCTGCCCCAGAGAGTTATGGAAGCAAGATCATTGAAAGCATAAAAGAAGAGGTGGATGGATTTTTGAAATGTCAAGGAGTCGAAGGCTATGAAGAGCTGGTACGAAAAGGGATTCAGTCCTGTGGAAGATCAGCAATGATCTTGTTGAATAGCAGGGCAGACATGAGAGGCTGAATGGCTCATTGCTGGTCCTATTTCTTATGTTCTTGATAATTCAAATGGATTTTTCAAAATAGTGACGTCTGTGATATACAGTCAGAATGTTATTTTGTAGAACTTATCACGTATTTGCATGGCTCTGAACATGGTCGACGTGGGTGAGTTGTCGTGGTAGGTGTGTTGGCATGAGTTTGTGCTAACATTGCAGAGGGACTATAAACGGACATGGGGTGTGCAAAGGAGAGTAGGTTGGCATGGAGGTCATGTAACAAACACTTTATTCTCATAAAAATCAAAGTCTAAGGTCATGTTCTATCAGGGAAAGAAGGGCTTACGGGAGATGATCACAGGGCATAAGTTGGCAGGAGTTGGCATGGGTGGGCATGGGAGTTTGTGGGAGGCAGTGAGTGGATGTGAGGGGTGAAGGCTGGAGGAATTTTTTTTGTACACAATGGCCGAGTCCTAAGACAGGCTTTCTGTTCAGCAATCCCACTACATCATCTTCATTACATACAGGGTCATGTACATACCCTGAACTGTAATATGGTCTGCACACAGTCACCCCCACCTCTTCCCAGGCAGCCATTTCAAAAGTAGGATATAGTCACAGCTGGGAAATCCCTTGATTCTACATTCCCGACTTGTGAACTGAAATCCAGGCCAGGGAGGGGCCAAGCCATGGTGGGATTTGAAAACGATCGTGAGAATTTTACAACTCAAGAACTGTGAAGAAGAATTATGCATTCTCCAGACATCCTGCTGAAAATTCTATATTCAAACAGCATCAGAAAACAAAGATTAGCAGCTTTTTCATTCCAATCGCTGTGTGTGGCCCCATACCATGCACACTGCCTGCCAGATTTGTCAACAATTTCAGAAGTTACCCACCAACTGTGAAATGCTTGGGACACACCAAGGATTTGGGTGACTATAAGACACTTATAAATGGATCTCCTTTCTTTTCCTGAAGGAGCATTATTTCAGACTTTGATTTTTATGAGAATAAAGTGTTTGTTATATTCTGTCCCCACCTGAAAAAATACTGTTAAAGTGACGTAAACAGGGACAACATTTAGAATTGAAGTGATTGT